GTATTACTCTTCTTCCGATCTCCGTCTGTCTATTACTCTTACGCACGCTCTTTTATACACGCAAATACAAGAGGTCATTTCCTGATGACTTTGCCTTTCTTTTTCTACTCTCTCTTTCATTCATCTGTTTGATACGCTTATGCACGCTATCTCAGACACGCACACCGTCTCTCTCTCTCTCTCTCTCTCTCTCTCTCTCTCTCACACACACACACACACACACACTCAGAAGCACCCGCTTCCGCACCCACCTACCCACACACACACACACACACACACACACACACCTGTCTCTTATACACATCTAGATGTGTATAAGAGACAGGGTGTGGGCTGGGAGCAGGGGGTGCCGGGGTTGGGGCAGGGGCGGGGGTGTTTTGGCGGGGGCGGGGGTCGGGTAGCCCCGTGGTGGGGGTCCGGGGGTGAAACCCCTACCCCAGCTTGGGCCCCGAGGATCCCCGCGTGACAACCGTGGTGAAAACCATATCAGATATCGAATTTCGAGAAGACTCGAGCGGATCCGATGGCATCCAGCAAATCATCGATCCGAGGCAGCAGGTAAACATACTTGGTGGTAATAGCGTTTAGCTTTCGGTAGTTGATGCACAGACGGACCGATCCGTTTCGTTTCGGCACAAGGACCACGGGAAAGGACCAGGGTCCGAGGGAGGGTTCAACCCATCCCAATCGTTCGAACTCCTGTACCCTTTCCAGAGCCGGCTGTCTTTCCTTGAGGGAGTAGCGGTATGGTCGACAGTGTATCGGGACGTGATCCCCGGTATCTACAGCGTGTTGAATCAGGTGCGTCAGTCCGATATCGTGATCGTGGGTACTGACCGCCTCGGGGTGCACCCGTATTACTGCCAGCAAGAGGCGTCGGTACTCGTCAGGCACATGGACCGATAACTAAATATCGACGGTTCCCCTGGGAAAGGAAACCGTCGCGGTAACTGTAGGTACTAACGCACCTTCCTCTGGTGAAGCGCCGAACAGGGAGTTGTCGGTTTTCATCGAGAGTACGATTGCGATAAGTTGACTGTCCGCCTGGCTGATTGGTTTTTTTTCGCCACCCTCTTCCAGTTCGATTTCGGTCGAAGGTTCTGCCGAAAAGGCCTGGGAAAGTTCTGTCGGTCCCCATCGGTTTCCCGGGGACGTAGGTTGAAACGACACCCCTTCTTTCAGAAGAGACACGGCCTTTGCATTGGTCAGCAAGGGTCGCGGCGGATTGAAAGACAGATCGCACAATCCTCGCAGCTCCGTAAAGCGTTCAGGGAGGGGGTCCGTTTGGAGATAGAGGGTCGCAGGGGGTTCCGAAAGGTCAGCTATTCGGGACACCCACAACAACGACTCACCCTTAAGGGTGGAGGAATATGCTTGGGACCACCTAGACCCACTTCGAGTATCGAAAGGGAAAGGCCTCAGAAACAAACGCCACCGGTCTTGAACTCGGATCGGTTAGAGGTCAGGGTTGTCCAACCCTTGGGTCTCGGCCGAGGATCCTCTTTCGCTCGAAACTACCTGTCGGATCATATTAACTCGGTGAACTTCAGTGGAAATGCGAGGGACGGGTTGCGACCGCACACGTACAGCTAACCGCATCGGTATCGTTTGAGGTTTGGGGTGGGCCGATGTCAGCACCACTTTCGCACTGTCAAAGTGCATTCGAGCTCCAACCGCCGCCTGCCACGGAATTCCTAGGAGCACATCATACGCTTGCACGTCCAATACAATTGCATCACAGAGACAATGCACCCGTCCAACCCGTATGGGCACGTTCGTGATTCACCCCTTGCAATGAATATTGTCCTCCGTAGCTGACACATACAGTTCATCGAGTCGGAGGGGCTGGATTTGCCCCTCCCTACCTAATCGTTTGGTTAGAGCCCACGAGATAGCCATAGCCGACGATCAAGAATCGAGGATGGCAGCCGAGGGGCTTCCCCAAACCTCGTAGTCACACTCAACGCTCTTCCAGGTTATCGGATAGGCCCGAAGGAATACTTCACATTTTCCAAGGGAGGGTCAGCGGCCTGGATCACCCCGATCCGGTTCGGCTCTTGAGTTTTCGAAGTCGATGGTTGGGCCTCGACGGCTTTTGGCTGATCGTTTAGGGTCATCTTTTTGCCCTTTCGGTGTTCGTCGAACCGACGTCGGTTTTTCATGCACCGCTCGATTAGTTTCTCATTGGCCGACTCAGAAATGGTCAGCAGGTAAGGGATGGGCACCGGGATGCGGAGATCTAAGGCCTTCATGGCGTCCAGGACGTCGATCTGACCGTCCTTGTACTCAGGACCAGGTGTCGCAAAGTCCTCCAACCCAGGTCTCCACGGCCCAAAATCGCTCTCCTTAGTAACCCGTTGGGCGTGTCGTATCACTCCAATGGTTCCGGGTTCAAGCATGGCCGCCGTCATGTATTCATCCATTCCTATTTCAGCGGCCGCGGTGGACACCATTTCCGTTGCTCCAGTGTCCATAACAGTGGCCACCCGACCTTCTCCTGCAGCGGTAGGGGCATCCAACAGAATTTGTCCCGCGGATCCCTCTTGGGCTCGAGGCTTCGGACAATCTTTTACTAAGTGGCCCGGTTGGTTACAATTGTAACATCGCATGGTCTGGACGGCCCCTGCAGCAGGGCGACGCGCAGCAGCGGAGCCAGCGACCATAGCCGCTCGCTGCTTCTGCAGACTTTGCACGAATTCGGTTAAGGGTGCCACCGCCGAAACTAATTGTGCGGCTACCTCCTTCATGGATATATCATCCGCGTCCCATCCCCTTGGCATAGGTTGAGAGCGTTTGGGGAACGAGGACGGCGGCGCCCTTCGTTCCATATCCTGCTTAGGTAGTCCTAACCTGAAACGGTCTTCGAACATCCGAGCCGCAACCGAATAGTTGTTGCGTCAGACGCCTCCAGGGTCATCTTCATCTGATTTTGAATCCAGCCCCACATCGTAGTTCTCTTTATCGTACCTGATAGCATACTTACATATGCGGTTAACGGGGACCCTCACTTTTCGGCCCTAGGTAACGATGAATGATCCTGAATGATCCTGAATGATCCTGAATGATCGTGAATGATCCTGAATTTAGGTTTTTTTTTGTTTTTTTGGATTTTTTTTTTGCCTGTTTTTTTGTTTGGACAAACTTTCTGTGTGTCAAATTTGATGTCATTTGGAGTATTAGAATTTGTGTTGTGAAGAGTGGTGAAAATTGTGAAAATTTGATGACAGCACTCTATACATCGGTATGAAGTTTGCTTAAAATGGCCTTATGGTTTTCTTATAAATTGAGGTGAAAAATGGGGGGCCGGTTAACCTTTTCTCCATACTTAATAAGCTCCGTCAGGGAATTGTCGATGGGGTTGCATTTCTTGCGGATCTTTTTTCTCAAACGAGAATCAGACAAACCCCTAACAAAGTCGGTTCGCACCATCTTTTCGTCCGCCCCGGGGCGTTCGGCCAAGTAGGAAAACCGTTCGGCATATCTGGCTAAGGTCTCACGGGGCTGCTGTGTGTATTCTTTTATTAAGCGCAGACACTGCCCTGGTGCTATATGATCAAAAGATTCAAAACGCCCCAGGAACAATTGTGAAAAATTTTCCCAATTGGTATAGGGGTTTTGCCCATACCATTCGAAGGCAGTTCCCGCCAATCTTTCTGGGATTCATTCTCAGTGCAGCTGGTCCGACCACCCCTGAGCCTTCAGGGCGGCCAGCCATGTGCGTGGATCCGTTTCATCCTCGGTGAAGATCGGAACTGCCGACGGCGGAGGGATCAAGTACAGAGGCGGGTTAGCCACATCCTCATGATTAGCCTCCCCTTGTCCAGGTTCAGCTATGGCGCGAGGCCGGTTTTGACCCCGCCCCCTTGCTGCGTCTTCATTTCCGTGCAAGGGGCGACGACGCCTGGGCGCCAACCTATTCAAAATTCATAAATTAACAAAAATTGCGTTCCGTATTTCCGAGGGACCTCGGATCCGAAGCGAATCAGCTCTGATACCAACCTCACACCCCGCGCGGCGTAGCGTGCCCTTGCGTGCCGATCGGAGTTGTTGGGGGTGTGGCCGAGGATTTTTTGCCGTAGGGATGGAGTCACCCGATCGAAGCGGGGATCTCTTAGTTTCGG